TCAAGGACCATTCTTTTCATGGGCACCTCCACATGCTTTTTCCACTATTTTATAGTCTTTTATTTACCTTAGCCCTCCTCCTCTTTAACCTTTATCTTTTACTAATGTGTCCAAGAACTACACCTAATTTTGCATAATTTTCCCGTATCCTTTGCCTTTTGCGCCTCCCTAGCACATGGATTTCGATTTTTTTATTTTTTATTTTGCTAATTACTAGTTTGGCATTTTGCTAATTTCTGTCTCTTTTCTGGCCACGCAAGAAAAGAACAACTAAAAAAAAAAAGCAACAACTTGTGGCTTCAGTAGTGAATAATGATCTTTGCTCATGTCCCACCATCTTGGCATTATGTTTTTGGGTCCTCTTTAGTCCCACCCCGCAGATTTTTCCCGTGAGTTTTGAAAGACCAAATAGATTTGTTTCCGATTTCATTATCTAAGATTCTAAGAAAAGATTGAGAGAAAACTATTTCCCATGAATTTTTTTTAGATAAAATAAAATGGTTTGTCTGTACTCAAATTAAAATAGTTTTTTTAATTTATATTGCAAAACTAGTTTGAAAATATAGTATAATCAATTTAATATAAATACTATAATTTTGATACTTTTAATTAAAATTATTCTCATAAGAATTTTTTATTCTTAAACATAATGCTTCAAAAGCTTGATCACTTTTTAATAATTTTGTGATACATTCAGGAACTTAATAAGTAATTGCATAAATTATACCAATAACAATATAAATTGTATGTTAGACTATAAAATTAAGAGATAATTAACGTCACATATAATAGTGGAAGAAGATAAAAGAGTTAAGAGTTCCCTCTTCACATCAGTTAATAATTATTAGTTTATTTTAAATTACATAAAAATATAACTAATTTAACAAATAAAAAAGTGATTACCTTGACTTGGAAAATTAGTTAGTTAATTAAGGAGAATCCGCATCACATGCAATAATATTCAATATATTCGTCTTGGAAGTATATTAATCTAAAATTTATATTGATTGATTATGGTGAACTTAAATACCTAGGTCTCTCATATTTTAGTTATCTTTATTTTAATTGATATTTTTTAGTTATTTTAATTAATTTTTTTTTGTTATTCAAATAAATTTAAAATTAATATTTTTAATATTTAGTTAATCAATAATCATCATAAAATTGATACTCTACTTATTATTATACTACTTGAATCTACCAGTGCACCTGCTAAAGTAAATTTAGTGCATTAGTGAACAAGTTATTGATCGGCTTTATGGGTAGAGAAGGTGCATGACTGCATGCTACCAAGGTTCTAGTCTCCTACAACAACTTTGTAGTTTCTTGCTTTATATTTGTTTGCTAGACTATGTTTTTTCCAGACTTCTTTTATTTTATGTTGGTTGGTTTTGTAACCAAACTCTATGTGTCTCAGTTTAATATAATTTACCGTTTTGTGTGGAAAAAAATTATTTATTTTTACCGATATATAGGCTAATCATCTGCACTACCATAAATTTACAAAAGAATTTTTAATAATTAAGAGTTTAAAATTTTATATTAAAAATTTTAAATTTAAATTTTAAAATGAATAAAAAAATATTTAAAAAATAAATAATTGTTTTGTATTGTGTAATGCAATATTTAATGTAAAAAAATAAATTTATAGAAGAATTATTTGATTATTTCTTCTCAATGTTTCAAGGATCCAATCATAGGTTATAACTTACAAGACGGATCAAAAGCAACGCATTCGGGATTAGCTAATAGCTTCGCTTAATGGATCAAAAGCGATGCTTCGAGATTCTTTATTATTTGATTGACACCCACTATTAGGACAAGATCATGACTATTGTCTAAATCAAGTACATTTTGACTCAATTTGACCCATTTCTTAAGGGCAAATTAAGAAAAACACTTCATCCCATTAGAACCTAATGAGAATAATTAGTTGACTTAAGAGGAGAAAATGATGGAGAATTTCTTCATTTTTTTTAAGGAAGTATAGAAATTACTGTTATGATTACCATGAGAAAAGGTTCACACAAGGATACAAATTTTACTCTTTTTTATTTAAGGATATAAATTTTTGAATTTCTAAATTATGTGATAAACTTTCATCTTTTTTTTTTT